ACAGACAATAATTGTTTATAATTAATAATACATTATATTAGAACTGTTATTTATTGTCTGAATAAAGGCTTATATTATTATTATTATTATAATGTATCTTTATCAAATCCGTGCACCCGAAAGATTACACACTAAATTGGATTTAAAAAATATTTAAATTAATAGAACTTACGAAATGAATAGTCCCAGTCTCAAGGTTCAGCGGGCCAGTCTTTACAGACTGTCCAACATCAAGAGCCAATATTTGCACGATGGCTGGCGCTATGGCCAACACAGAGCAGTTGCCAGCTTCGCCGTGGTTGCGAAGAGTGTACACGCCTTCCGGGTCAAACACCATAATGTTGCACGCTACAAAAAAATATGAATATGTAATACCATACTCAGAGTGGCTTAATAGTTACATAAATAGACTTTCAGTGTACTTATTAGTATATTGATTTTAAATGCGCAAGTATTTCAACGAATTATCATAACTCCGTACTTTTGATACGCATCGATCGACTTAAAACCGAAAAGTTACTGAAATTTTTTTTCCAAATATAACCAAGTAAAACCAGCAACTATTTACCGAAACTAAACAATGAATTTTACTATTAAACTTGCTGTTACCATGCGGCTTCATCCGCATGAAATTATGAAAATTTTATTTTTTTGTTTACATTTGTCAAATTATCAATAGCAAATGTCAAAATGACATGACATGACAAACCTTGACAGTCTTGCTTCCTTGATGTTGGCAGCAACTTAAGGTCTCTTTCCCACATTAGAGTCTTTATCCAAAATATTTACCCCCTGAGTTTAATGGCATGAAAATGTATAGCCTAAAGCGTGACGTAAGTGTAGAGCTTTTATTAAAGAAAGAATTATTCAAAAATATACTGTAATTGTTGATTATTAGGCAACAAAGAAGTGTGTGTTTACGCTTCATTATAATAGTATAGATATAGATATAGGACATGGCTAACGATAGCTGTTATTATAAATATCACTAGATACATTTTTGTTTCCTGAAAAAACAATATGTAATTCAGATACGTAACTTATGAAAATATCGCTCCAATGGATATCGGACGTTGCGATATTTCTCGAGAGTAGTCATGTATGTAAAAACATCGAAGTGACAAATAGAAAAATGACTACACGTTCCAAAATAACATTGAACTATTGTTAACGTGCGATTGAATATGCTATACTTTTTCTTCTCTTAACGTTATTGAAAACATACTCTGCTATTCAAAGGAACAAAAGAATTCTTTTCAAATCGTGAATTTTGTTTACTCCAGAAATTTATTAGTTTTCATCAAAAGGTTATAAATGTAACAAAACATGTTTATAAAACATCAAAGGTATATCGACTGTGTAATATTTAACCGTTTGATGCTTTCACGGGTTTTCAAAGCTATTGTGAATTTTTCAATATCTCGTCGTCATATTACTTATGATATTAAGAATATATCTTAAACGTTATATTAAGAGGCAAAAATATCATTTTTCCTTTAGAAAACTCAACTCATATGAATTTAATAAAGTCTGTGAAATGTGCATTGAAGCAAGTAAATTATACACTTCTACTTTGTGCAAAGTATAAAAAAAACTTCGGGAATTAAGTAATAATTTTGAAATGATAAAATAATTTTATCGTCTCAAAATCGTTCTTAATTACCGATGACATCGTTTAGATTAAATTATAATTTAAATAGCTAACTAGAAAGTATGAAAAATATATTCGTTGACGACAACAAATGTGCTTGGGAATTAAAAAATGTCTTGTTAATTAAATACTTATACCGGGGTTAATGAGAGTGGAGGAATAATGCAAACGGGTATAACCAATCCTATAAATCTGTTACTAACGAGTTTCTCTCCAACTACTGTACTCTAAGAGTTGAAGACTACAGTTATACTTCGCAGTCGTTCAGTATAGTAATGCTTAGTTACAAACAGCTAACACTGGTAGAACCCGCTTTAACATAGACGCACGAATGGGCCGGCTCGCCCGGTGAAATGCCACGAGCACACAGAATACAGACTTGTAGTGGGAGCAATTCTTCGTTTCGTCCGATGAGTATTGCCGGAGGCCTAACTTTAGTCCCTTTTCCTATGCACGCTTATCTTAAGAGGGAAGGGTGGGAAGGAAAAGTGGATTTGACGGCGAAGGAGATGCATAGAGAGAGGAAATAACCTCTTTATGTGCGTCTCCTCCTCCGTCGATTAAGGGTTGACAAAGCAACTGCAATTGCGGATATCTAGGAGCAACGGTCGCTTCGGTATTTTCTCGGTTTCAGGTAGTAACTGCTCGTTTGCCATATTACAATATAAAAAAATGGAAAACTTACGTTTGTTGTTCCTTAAGTGGTGCACTGTGATAGCGAATCCTTTACCCTTAGCTGGTACTCTGTACTGAATCAGCGCGGCGTTCTGGCTCGATGTCAGCTTGTTTTGAGGCCGACTGTCGCAGGATTCCACTAGCCGATCATCGTTCCAAGCGTCCGCAGGCCAAATTTGTCCGTTCAGTTCCCAACCGTCGATCCACTGGAATATGTCATCTAATTAACATTGTGATAACCACACTTTGTGATATTCAGATTTTTATTCGAAAATAACCTGAATATAGAACTTTGTGGCACGAAATGTTATTGTTAATAACGTATGTAATTGATGAGAAATCTTCGAACAGAATGCGTAAATGTGCACATAAAAGATTTTTAGGATACTCGGGGAAGTTTAACTCTGCCGCCACCCGGGGTTCATAACTTTGTTCAATCATTATTTTTTACAAGAACACGTTATAAATTATAAATTCTTTTTTGACATTTAAAAAGATATTCTGTTATAAAATAATAATTTGATCCTCCAAGTGATTGCTTGAAATTATTAAGCTGTCAGTACCTTTGTGAAAAAATGATTATACAGATACAAAGAAAGGATCATCCAGTTTTATCTTGTCAAGAGGATTACAAAGATTCTTTGCAAGTCTCAAGTGCTTTAAGTTAATAAATAAAGCGAATACCACATTCATTATTATGAGTACCTGGAAAAATGATATTGTTACAACAAAAAAAAACATACAGGCAAATGGAGAACCTCTTTCTTTTGAAAGTCGATTAAAGTTACGAGTAATGCACTTCGTTACATTTGTACCTCATTAACTGAGATAATTAACGTGGCATTTGTTTGTCTTCATTTGTTTGTTAAGAAAAAATGATTACCGCAACCAGTCCACCATTTTCACAAGGCACATCCAGATAGTTGAAAGTGACTTGTATCTTCTTGTCGGGGTCGGTTATCATGTAGATGCCACACACGGTAGGTTCGTCTGACGGCGACTTGAAAAATATTTCCCCTTCATTTGACGTCACGAGGAAGCAATCTAAAGAGATAGATTATTAAATTAAACAATAACAAGTAAGCTGTAGAAAATCATCTGAAAGAACGCGTTTTGAAACATAATGTATTATTTTGACTTATGCAATTTAATAGCAATTATTGTCTCCTGTGCATTGGTGAATAAAAGAAAATACTCGAAAAAAATGTAGGTAAACTAAATTTCAGTATAATAATTTAGAGCGACCTTTACCGCTACAGTAGGCTTAAAATTACACTTAGAATTATGAGAACACTATCATAGTTAACACCCGGAATTGTAGACAAGGGCAGTGCCTCAAATTAGGAAGGGTACATACGGAACTAAAGGAATATTTAATGTGAGTTACATATTCATAAGCGTAAAGAGTTTAAGTGGATATTAATAAACCCGCTCTTTTTAATATAGCAAACATGAGTGATGCAATATTTTAAAGTATTTTTTATTCCTATTGTACTCTGTATTCTAAAGTTGGTTATGATTTCGGGCTACTCGTTATCATATAATGGCGGACAATATAAATAATTTACTCTTGTATTGCAATAAATCATCAAGCCCAGTTAGCAGGCGCACTCCTTTGACTAAAGTTTGTTTATTATTTTGCAGCCAATTCAACTGTTTAGTTGCACAACTAAAAAACGAGTAGTGTACGCACCTACATATTAGCTCAGGGGAATTGAAGCGAGACTAAACAGTTGTGCGTTGTGCGAACAGAACCTACTTAGGCAGTGAAAGGCTATTAATGTAAACGTAAGTACTTACCTTCAGCGGGGTCGATGACTCGATGTTCCTTCATACGGCGCTCTCGAGGGAACCATGACACCCTTTTGTCAACATCCATCACCACGGGATAGTCCATACCCTAATGAAAAAAACATAATTCATAATGTTGTGTTTTCATCTCAATAACATATTAAGTAAACAACAACGTCGAACATTTTGCCGTGTTTAAGCTTCAGTTGTAATTCTATGTCTTAAAAATCAATAAATTAATAGATTCAATTTTTTAAATGTTCTCTGACGTCAAAGAGATTAAAAAACATATGGAAGGGACATAGTTGACACTTCCCTTGATATTTTTTTTACGTCATAACCACTAACCTAACGCTATCTATTGTTAGGCTCAAAATCACATGTCTATTATTTTTTTAACAAATTATTATATTTACATGTCATACAAAGACACGTGGTGGCTACTAAACTTGCCAACTGATGTAGTATCTATCAGAAAAAGTACCGCTGACAAAGTTTTGTTCATTATGCCTCGTCTATATGTTTTATAAATGTTTTTGCTTTGTGTATACTCATATGTTTAGCGCGTTAATTGGTTAACTTCAGTTAGCAAACATGATGTTTAGAGCGGAAGTTCATGAACATTTTCACCGGTTTTTAGATAGAAGCCGACAGTTCGTTAACTCATCAGTTCCGGTAAGTCGAGTGGTCCACAAGCACTCCTCGAGCAAAGTTAGTGCTAACATTCTGTAATTACTGCATGAAATCTAATCTGAAGTTTCCTACTCATACATTTCTCTTTGACATTCAAGCGGTGCCAAGCTTTCTGTGAAATTACGTTCTTAATGCTTTACAAAAAAGCTTAGCTGATATTAAAATGTAAAAGAATTATGTTCTATCTATAATATTTTCTAATAATTGGAGTGTCTGTAACATCAAAAGAAAAATTCCAGATGTCGGGAAGATGATTTATTTGCGTTGCTGATGACGAAAATTGCATTTTTTTTGTTTATCTGTCTGTCTGTCCGTAAGCCACGTTTGTTCCGGGTAATCTCTGAAACGACTGGACTGATTACGACAGGACTTTCACTGAAGGGTAGCTGAGGTAGACGGGCATATCATAGGTTACTTTTTATCCCGGAAATAGCTACAGTTCCTGCGGGATACATTGATTTCGTTTTTGTTTCTGTATAATTGAATGAAAGTAATGTATAAGATATAATAGTATTTGTTATTATTCGTATGTGAATTGTCTATTGAATAAGACATTGTCAAAATACGTTGTAATTATCATTTATTATGTTTTGTGGAAACGTCTTACCAATTTCCTACCAACGTAGCAATAACTGAGTATATTGATTCAATTATTATCCGTAAGGACGTTATTATTGACAGGTTTACGTGATTTTCCTTAACAAATATGAACGATGTAGGATTTATTCTGTGTTGATATTGTTCTGTCAATAATTATCTATTGTTCGTTTATTTTATACTTTTATTATATTGTCTTAGTTACATATATATTGTGTCTATACACGAACACATTACTTACTTTATATATGGACGGAAGTTTCTAAAATGAAAGATGGGCATTACTATAATAATTTATGCTCAAGCATGCATCGTTGTGCTGCCAGTAAGATGCTGAACTAATTTTTAGGCGCTTTAATCGTTCCGCATATAAGTTTAATCAGAGGTAATAGTTATTCTGTCAGGAATTTTGAATCAAGCGACTTTTGTTTTCTCAGAAGCTAATGTGAATATTATGGGAAGAAGAAAAATGTGAGTTGCAATCGAACAAATCCGACAAAAAATTGATGTTGGTAATGATTATGGATGGATAAAAAGAGATACTATTTAGGTAAATGCGAAAATACTATGCATAAAAAGTGAAGAATTCCATACAGGTTGTCTTCTTATCGTAATTTTCGAACATTTTTGTGTTTCTTATTTGACAAATTGTTCAGCCATCATTGCATACTAATGGTAATTCAATCTTCTGACCGATAGATTGCCTATTTATTTATTCTTTCCGCGTTTTCCTGACATCCCGAAGACCGGAAAATAAGCAGATAATGATTTAATAAAAGTTGGTACCTAAATAACTTTTAGTACGATGTTTATTAAAATGACATAATGACGAAGATGTTATATTTTAAAATATACCTTATTTTAGAATTCCGTGTTATTTTATTTTATGGCGTACTAGCTGTTGCCCGCGACTTCGTTCGTGTGGTATTAGAAAATAGATGAACTATGTAAATAACAAAAAACTACGTGTCCCTTGGGAACCAGACATTTTTCGGGGATGAATCTTAGCCCATGTGTACTCTAGACTTTGTTTTATATCTGTGCCAAATTTCAATAAGATAATTGAACTGATAAAAAAAATTAAGTTACTTTAGAAGTAGACATTTTATTAGGCAATATACCTTCCACAAAAACCAATACAGCTTAGTCATGGTTAGTTAATAAATGTCAGGAATATAAGAGGTTTTATTCTTTAGGGTATGCTTCAAACATATTTATGTCGATGTAAGTAGGCTGACACCCACGGGTCCACGCCGACCGCCCGTCAACTTTACCAAAGGACATAAATAACCTTTACATGCATTATGTGATGTCGAACGTATGAAATACTTCCCTAATATTACTGTTTTGACGAGGGGAATATTCTAGTTTAGAAATATAGATTATAAAGCCTGCTACAGACGCTCAATACAAACTTCTCTTGCTCCTTAATACAATACCTTTTTGTGTGTGGGGGGGGAGGGGAATCTATCAATGATACTTTGCCCTCTGGGAGGAAAGCAGGGTTATATAGGATTTGATCCACGATAACCTCTTTGGTGGCTATCCTCGAGTGACATAGTTGAAGGTTCTGGGATATCCAAGGAACACACCGTAACCATTAATACCTATCCGTTGAAAATTGTTGCATGTATTTTGAGGTCTCTTAAGAGATGTACGTTCGACGTATGGATGTTGAATGCATGATCATTCAAATGTAATAATATAAATAATTATGAATACTCATGCAGCTGTATGTTTACTTAAAGCTGGCCTTCGTAAATCCTTTCATCAGATTTTATTCCTACTTCTGAGTGATTTGAAATGTAACGACCGCAATCATCCCGCCATAATACGTGATGGGCGTATAAAAGACTTAGTTTCTAAAGGAAACGATTTATGATTGCTCGCCAAGTGTGGAAAAAGCTTTAATTCTTGGATATTTCTATGAGATAACACTTAACATGTTCGTCATCTTTTGTCAGGTTTGCGTAACCCGTTCTTTAAAAATGGAACAGATATTCCCTATTAGATTCTTTTTTATTTTAGTCAACTTTTATCAACATTGGAGAGGTGAGCACTTCCAATTCTATGATCTTTCCTTATCCCTTATGTCGGGTCCTTATGTCATAAAAAACGGAGAGCGCAACCGCTAGCTTATCATGGAGAGAAAAGCATATAAAATGAAATAAAAGTCGTACAAACGATGTTTAAATTGTAATTATAATATGACTAGCTTTCGCCCACGACTCCGTCCACGCAGTATTAAAAAAACAAAAGCAAGTAGCCTATGTGTTCCTCTAGACTATGCTCTATATCGATGCCAAATTTCATTGAGATCCCTTCATTCGTTTAGGCTAGAAACTTGAACAAACATCCATCCATCCATCTATCTAAACTTTTGCATTTATAATGTTACGAAGATTTCCCGCTATTCAAAATAATTTACTTTTTATTGATAATGAACTTAATGTGTAATTACATTGCAATTGTATTTAAAAACGGTGTTTAAAATGTGATAAAATGTAATTTGTGGTAAGTAGGGTCGACTTTATTAAAACATACAGTCCTTTGATAATGTAGTTTGTGTCCCTCGTAACGTTATCAAATTGAAAGTAAGTGCTGGGATGAAAGGAAATTTTTACGTCAATTTTTATTACATCGCTTTAATATTAAATTTTCGATGATTACAAAAATAACATACAGGTCATATTTAAAACGACTAAATCTTAAGTATTAAATTAAACAACATACTATATGACAGTCATAGTGTGTTGGTAATAAACGAGACTTTAAGTATAGTTTAATTAAGACAGATCGACTCTAAGGTTTGCTTAAGTGACCATTAACCGACTATAAGTTCTACACTACGCAGCGCCTACTTATAAAAATAGCAATGCCGTTCGCTTCGGTCCATAGTAAAGGCGAACTAATAAAAAAAACAAACATTTTTCTTTGTTTTCCATTTAGCTCGGACAGCTTTATTTTCCTTTAAAAATAGATGTCGTATAAACCGAATTTAGAAACAAACCACGCACATACAATACCTACTTATGTGGTTACAGTTGCAACGAAGATATAAAAATGCGGACTTTAATATACCTTAAGCTTCAGAAATTAATTAAACCTTAATGAATATGATCAAAAAGTACACAGTGAATTTCAAAGTTAGTCAAAGTTCAAAATGTTTTCGTTACTACCTCAAGTTTACATCAAATTCCGTTACCAAGCCAAGATTTCGACCAAGTTTTGTGTTAATAAAATTTTGTAAGGTTTCCTGAAGGGCAAGAAAGTTCTAATTATTAAACTTAGACAACATGTGAGAATAAAAAAAAACATTTTTAATCAAAGTTAGGTAAACTTGGCACGCATGTTAAGGTTTTTATGTTAATAGGGACTAGATATTACCCGTAATTATGATCGTGCAGTAATTTAAAGCACAATATGTAGCTTATGTGTTCTTTCAGACTGTGATCTACTGTCTGAAGTTCTAGAAGCCGTTTCAAATACACTGTAAAAACATTCATTCATTCATCCAAACGTTAATGTGTCTAACTGTAATTCTCCACTACCTAAATGCTGATACAATATTTATTTACTGGTATCAATGTTTATTCAAAATAAATCAGAGGTGAAAGAATTGGTCCTTTAATTGTTGCCAAAACCCATGGTAACTACATAATCTATGAAGTATGAAGGTAAAATCTATGAAGTATCAAAAAAGTTTCAACGAGCCGTCGGTTTTATTTTGCCATTTATCGGGTATCACGAGCTTTCCTTGATATCTATACTAGTATTATAAAGTGG